CGTGGGGCCTGAACTTGGTCTGGGCGCTGTCCCTCAGCTCTTCAGCTCAAGGCTAGCACTCTACCACTTGAGCCACAGCACCACTTCCAGCTTTTTCTGTTTATGTGGTGTTAAGGGCCAAACCCAGGGTCTCATGCGTGCAAGGCAAGCATTCTACCACTGAGCCACCTTCCCAGCCCTGAGACTCTTATCTCTAATAAACCACTCAGCAAACCGGAAGTGGCACTGTAGCTCAAGTGGTAGACTAAAGTGGTAGAGTGGTAGCCTTAAGCTGAAGAGCTGAGGGACAGCCCAGGCCCAGAGTTCAAGACTCTTGACCAACCAAAAAAAAAGTCAGTAATTCGTAATGGATGGCTAGTGATTTTCTTTTAGAAAATTGTACTCTACTGTCAAGCTGTTCTACATTAAGCATGGCATACTTTTTTGTTTTGGGGGGGGTCCAGTCGTGGGACCTGAACTCTGGGCCTGGGCGCTGTCCCTCAGCTCTTCAGCTCAAGGCTAGCGCTCTACCACTGAGCCACAGCGCCACTTCCGGCTTTTTTTTCTGCTTATGTGGTGCTGAGGAATCGAACCCAAGGCCTCATGCATGCAAGGCAAGCGCTCTACAACTGAGCCACCTTCCCAGCCCATACTTTTTTTTTTAAGCTAACTTCTTTTAACTTAAGGAGAAGAAAAGCAAATTTTAGAATTACAAAGATGAAGGTGCTTTTGGAAACAAAAATATGCCAGGAAGATGAGTATTGTTATAGTTCAGACATCATTAACTTCAACATGGCTTTCAACTGAGATCTGAGGATTGGGATTCAAAGCTAGCCTGGGTAGGAAAGCCAGTGAGATTTTTGTCTCCAATGAACCACCAAAAAGCCAGAAGTAGAGCTATGGCTCTAGTGGTAGAGTAGTAGCCTTTAGCAAAGAAGCTCAGGGAAAGCATTCACACGTTGAGTTCAAACTCCAGGACCAAAAACAAAAAAGGCTTTTACATTTTAAGAAGCCAGGACCCATCCTAACTATTAAGAGGGAAAAAGATTATAAACTAAGAATCAGAGTTCAGATCCCAAAACACTTCACTATCTCTACACGCCAAAAGATCACAGCTAAAATTATTTAGTATATGGGGCTGTGATGTAGCTCAGTGGCAAAGCACTTGCCTAGCAAGTACAATGTCCTGGGTTCGATCTCCAGTACCAAAAAAGAAAAGACAAAAAATACAGTTAAAAAAATTATTTAATATAACTGAGATAAAAAGTGGTATGCTAAAGCTGGGCACCCAGTGGCTCACGCCTGTAATCCTAGCTACTCAGGATGCTGAGATCTGAGGAACGTGGTTGAAAGCCAGCCAGGGCAGGAAAGTCAGTGACTCTTATCTCCAATAAACCACTAGAAAACCGGAAGTGACATTGTGGCTCAAGCAGTAGAGCGCTTGCCTTGAGCTGAAGAGCACAGGGACAGTGCCCAAGCCCAGGGTTCAAGCCCCACGATCGACCAAAAAAAAAGTGGTATGCTAGATATAAATGGCACAAGAACATACCTTGCTGAACATTGTAAGCCATGGCATTTCTAGTCATGCTGGAAGGAAGCCATCCTGCCAAGCTTGCCCGCTGAGGTTTTGTCTCTTTATGTTTGACATCCTCCCCATCCCAGATGATATCATCTTCCCAATGCAGTTGAGTCACCATCAAAAAATTTTCATCAGCCAGAAGATCAATTCCATTGCTTTCTTCAAGCTTTTTTAAATCCTAAAGAACAACAAATTCTTCATGGGTCACTAGCCAAAGTCCTGACATAAATCCCTAATCAGATTCATGAAACATTATCTAATGTATTATTTTAGGGCTGAGAATGTAGGGCCCAGCATAGGTCAGGGCTTGAGTTTGATCCCTAACACTGAAAAAAGAAAAACAAAAACTTTGGGCTGCAGGCCTTACTCAGGGGGTAGAGTACCTACCTAGAAAAAGCACAAGGAGGGCTCAGAAGGTGGCTCATGACCGACAAAAAAAAAAGAAAGAAAAGCAAAAGGACCTAAATTCAAGCCCTAACATGGCCCATCAACCAAAAAGTGGTGCTTGTGAGAACCACCTGATAATGAAATATTAGCTGCCTCTTCTCCTTTTCCTAGTATAAAATAGCACTCAATTGATAAACAAGATCCTTATAGGATCAAGATGAGTTACTGTACTGTACTAAGCAAAGGCTTAAACACCTAAATTTCCTATCAAAGCAATCTGACCCAGGATTTTTATTACTGAAAACATTAATAAAAATGTCAGTGCTGGGCTGGGAAGGTGGCTCAGTGGTAGAGCGCTTGCCTTGCAGGCCTGAGGCCCTGGGTTCGATTCCTCAGAACCACATAAGCAAAAAGAAAAAAGCCAGAAGTGGCGCTGTGGCTCAAGTGGTAGAGCGTTAGCCTTGAGCTGAAAAGCTGAGGGACAGTGCCCTGGCCCAGAGTTCAGGCTCCATGACTGGACCCAAAAAAAAAAATGTCAGTGCTGTGAACACATAGAATCCTTTCTTATATATCAAAGCTGCTTACCTCCATCATCCTGCATTTTATCACAGGTTCATGCTCATTCTTTCTCAGTTTGAAGCCATAATCAAACCCACTGCCATCTTCAGGGACACCCAGCATGTCATACCACAGTCGAGCAGGCCCATAACGCCACTCAGCCACTCTTGGTTTTGTATCCATCACTTTATCTGTATCTCCAGTTAACTGGGAAAACTTCGACTCAACAGGAGCCATCATTGTGATCTGTAGCAAAGAAGTAGAATGAGAAATATTTCCATATCCCAGATGTCCTATGGTTATAAGAAATTAACAATTTAACAACTAGAGTGTGAATTAGATGGGACACTAGGATGATTCTTGAACAAGAATCTTCACCTGGGGTTACGATATAAAAAATGCAGAAATATTAAAGCACATTTATCATTTACATGTAGTGGTGAATCAATTACTATTTAGTAGTGTACCAATATCTGCACCACCCTCATGCGTCACTTCAATTCCCTATCAAATACTTGTCAATTACAATGAGAAAGGGGAAGATACTGGATTTAACTCAGAATTACTCAATAATTAGCATAGAACTCTGCCTGTAAGGTGTTATTTCCAACTCTATGTTTTCCTCTTGTAGGCTTTATAATCCAACGTCAGTGTTTTTGCTTACTTCATCATCAGAAAGACACTGCTCTGGAGGTGGTGGTGGAGCATAGTCATAGTTCCACAAAGATTTCTGGCTCATTTCTACTTCTACTGAGGACTCCACCTCAGGGATCTGCTCTTCCTGTATCAGTTCACGGTGCTTCTTCTTTCTCTTTCTCCGAGCACTCCGCCAAACAGATGGAATATTTTTCCCTGGTCCAAAAAGACGTAAGAAGCGTAATACCTAGAACACAGGACACATTACTATGTTAGTAATCAATGTTGGATTTGAATATAGTCCCATTCAGGTCTGAAATTCTCTAATAGGATCTAGCCAATTGTAAGGGGAGGAATCAAGTATTCAGATTTATAACAGTTACCATGGCCAGGCACCAGTGGCTCACACTATAATACTAGCTACTAAGAAGGCTGAGATCTGAGGATCACAGTTCAAACCCAGCCCAGGCAGGAAAGTCTGTGAGACTCTTATCTATAATAAAACACCAGAAAACCAGAAGTGGTGCCGTGGCTCAAGTAGTAGAGTGCCAGCCTTGAGCTGAAGAACTCAGGGACAATACCCAGGCCCAGAGTTCAAGCCTCATGACTGATCAAAAAAAGAGAGTTCTTGAAGTGGCACTGTAGCTCAAGGGGTAGAGTGCTCACTTTGAGCTGAAGAGCTAAGGGACAGCGCCTAGGCCCAGAGTTCAAGCCCCACAACTGACAAAATAAATAAATAAATAAAATAAAGAGAGTTCTTGGGCTGGGCAGGTGGCTCAGTGGTAGAGTGCTTGTCTTGCATGCATGAGGCCTTGGGTTCGATTGATTCCTCAGCACCACATAAGCAGAAAAAGTGGGAAGTGGTGTGATGGCTCAATCGGTAAAGCACTAGCCATGAGCTGAAGAGCTGAGGGACAGCACCCAGGCCCAGAGTTCAGGCCCACGACTGACAAAAAAAAAAAGTTTTTAGATAGGGGCTGGGATTGTAGCTTAGTGGCAGAGTGTTTACCTAGCATTCATGAAGCCCTAGGTTCAATTACTCAGTACCACATATAAAGAAAAAGCCAGAAGTGGTGCTATGGCTCAAGTAGCAGAGTACTCACCTTGAGCTGAAGAGCTCAGGGACTGTGCCCAGGCCCTGAGTTCAAGCCACAGGATTGGCAAAAAAAAAAGGTTTTAAATAGGCAAGTAAATGTCAGTAAATAAGGAAATCATCAGATATCATTTATTCTGCATTCAGCATCATAACACCATGATACAATTAACTATAAGAGGTCAGTAATTTAAAATTTGGGTATTCTCCTTAGAAGGTATCTTTCCAGGGCTGGGAATGTGGCTTAGTATCAGAGGGCTTGCTTACTATGCATGAAGCTCTGGGTTCAATTCCTCAGTACCACATAAACAGAAAAGGTCGGAAGTGGCACTGTGGTTCAAGTGGTATAGTGCTACCCTTGAGTAAAAGAAGCTCAGTGACAGAGCCCAGGCCCTGAGTTCAAGCCCCAGGACTGGCAAAAAAAAAAAAAAAAGTACCTTTCCAGGCCGAAATTCAGGAAAAAGTTCTGTGACACTTGGCAACAGCTTTGTGGCATCATGCTGCATAATCCCCGCCAATGGTAGAGTCAGCTTTCCATCCTCACATTCTGCCTGTGCTACTTCTTGAGGTCCCATCTCAGATTCTGAGTCAGAGGAACTACTGAAGTCCACTTTCTCTGAGGCCAAAGAGGAAGGGGCAATGATGGAGGGCAAGATGATGCCTTCTCCATCTTCAGACACTGCAATAAGGAAGAGAAATCCCTGTGGCATGTAACTGTAAGTATATTTCCTCCATGTCAGCCATTGAATACTCTAGGCTATATGTACAGCTTACTGGCAGGGGATATAGTCCCAAGCACCCAGATTACTAATATGCAACCCAGAAAACTTATCCAATTCATTATTTCCCATCATCTCCAACTCACCTTTTACCTGGTACCCTAGGGTTGTGATAAGAGAAAACAAACACTATTACTATATTTACTACTTTCCGTAATTGACAAATAGTGTGTCCATTGTTGTGACCAACAGCAAAATTATAGAATACTTGGTATCAGTCAGACCTTATTATGTCCAGTTCAAGGATCACAAAAATTTTGGAGAATTAAGCCCACAGGATAACAGTAAGCTTATTTAGCATAAAACAAGATCTATATACAAGGTTTATAGTGATATTTACCCTGAAGACCAAAAAAGGAAATAATTCAAAACTCTAAAAGGAGTAATTTAGGTTAACCTAAGCCTCAAAATACAGGAGACCAAAGAACTGTTCCTCAATATTCTGGCCTATAAGAGGATTATTACTGGTATAGGGATAAGAACAGTGAGATGATCACTCTTTAACACCCTTTGAAATTTCTGAATATGCAGTGATTTTATATATATATATATATATATACATATATATATATAATATAATATATATTTACATATAATGTGTTTTAGAGTATCTTTTTTAGTTTCCAAATACCAATTTCCAGATTAGTTATATCAGAAATTTTAGAGAAGACCATTAAAAAAATTATTGGGCTCCACCCTAAATCATTTAAATCACACAATACAGGAGAGTCAGATGTGTTTTATGGTTTATAGCTTTTTTTTGGTTTGAGATAGGGTTCTCACTCCAGGTGGTCCTGCACTTGCTATGTATATGTAGACCATACTTGCCTCAAACTCACAATCCTCCTACCTCAGTCCCTTAACTGCTCTGATAATAGGTAGTATTTTTTAAAGAGTCAAGATAGGAGCTGGCAAGGTGGCTCAGTGGTAGAGTGCTTGCCTTGCATGCCTGAGGCCCTGGGTTCGATTCCCAGCACCACATAAGCAAAAAGAAAAAAGCCGGAAGTGGCACTGTGGCTCAAGTGGTAGAGCGCTAGCCTTGAGCTGAATCGCTGAGGGACAGCGTCCAGGCCCAGAGTTCAGGCCCCACGACCGGACAAAAAAAAAAAAAGAGTCAAGATAATTCTGATAGGTGCCAAATCTGAGTACCACTCACCTACACTACTTCTTGAGTATTTTAAGAGTGGACAATTTTTTTTTGTCAGTCATGGGGCTTGAACTCTGGGCCTGGGTGCTGTCCCTCAGCTCTTCAGCTCAAAGTGAGCACTCTACCACTTGAGTTACAGCGCCACTTCAGGTTTTCTAGTGGTTTATTGGAGATGGAGTCTCATGGTCTTTCCGGCCTGGGCTGGCTTTGAACCGGGATCCTCAGATCTCAACCTCCTGAGTAGCTAGGATTACAGGCATGAGCCACCGGCGCCCGAGTTGGACAAATGTTTTAAATCAATTATCTGAGAATACATGAATCATTTCTACAAGCGTCATCCTTTTCTAGCAACTTAATTGCTTTGAAATAACTCATTATGTGCATGCCAAAAGCCTGAACTTACAAATGAAAACTTGCTCCCTAGACAAAAATAGACAGTCTTTACTTACCATCGCTAATAGCATCCTGGTCTTTATCTTTCTTTATTGGTCCTGGGGGTGGAGGTGGGGGAGGCATTAGCTTACAATCAATGTCTTCACAATCAGCATCATAGTCATCTTCATCATAGTCTAATAAAATATAGAAGTTAGTCTGGTCAATATCCAGAATGTTATAAAATAGCCTTGAGCTTCATCTATCTCTTTTTTTAAGTTTTTAAAATTGTTATTTTAAAGGGGATGTACAGAGGGCTTACAGGTACATAAGACAGGTAAAGACATTTCTTTTTGGCAAATGTCATCCCTTCCCTCACTCTCTCTCAGTTTTTCCCTCTCATCCTCACTCAGAAGTTGTGAAGTTCATTTTTAACATGGTGCCTGGTGAGTACCACTGCTGCATTTGTTCACCCTTTGTCTCTACCTCTTAATAATTGGAAGTACAGGGGCTGGGAAGGTGGCTCAGTGGTAGAGCGCTTGACTTGCATGCATGAGGCCCTGGGTTCGATTCCTCAGCACCACATAAGCAAAAAGAAAAAAGCCGGAAGTGGCGCTGTGGCTCAAGTGGTAGAGCGCTAGCCTTGAGCTGAAGAGCTGAGGGACAGCGCCCAGGCCCAGAGTTCAGGCCCCTCGACCGGGACCCCCCCCCCAAAAAAAATAATTGGAAGTACATGTCCTTTAGGAATACAGACATAGCTTCTGTAATCAGATACCATGGTAGAGCCAAATACTTATATAGAATAGAGCCCATCTAAGAGCAATCTGACCCCTTTTGTTCTTTTTCCTAATCATATTAGTTTTTTTTTCTTTCATTTCTGCTCTGCTCACTTTCATAATTGAATTCAATATATTCTTTTTCTGACCGTTTCCCATAAAACTGGATTTAGGGGCTGGGGCTGTGGTTCAATGGTAAAGCATTTATTTACCTAACATGTATAAAGCCCTGGGATCAACTCTAAACACTGATAAATATTTTACAAATAAAAATAAGGCTGGGAATGGAGCTTAGAGGTAGAGTGCTTGCTTAGCATGTATGGAGCCCTCACTTTGATTCCTCAGTATCACATAAACAGAAAAAGCAAGAAGTGATGCTGTGATTCAAGTGGTAGAGTGCTAGCCTTGAACAAAAAAAAGCTCAGGGAGGGCTGGGGAGGTGGCTCAGTGGTAGAGCGCTTGCCTTGCATGCCTGAGGCCCTGGGTTGGATTCCTCAGCACCACATATGCAAAAAGAAAAAAAGCCAGAAGTGGTGCTGTGGCTCAAGTGGTAGAGCGCTAGCCTTGAGCTGAAGAGCTGAGGGACAGCGCCCAGGCCCAGAGTTCAGGCCCCTCGACCGGACCCCCCCCCCAAAAAAAATAATTGGAAGTACATGTCCTTTAGGAATACAGACATAGCTTCTGTAATCAGATACCATGGTAGAGCCAAATACTTATATAGAATAGAGCCCATCTAAGAGCAATCTGACCCCTTTTGTTCTTTTTCCTAATCATATTAGTTTTTTTTTCTTTCATTTCTGCTCTGCTCACTTTCATAATTGAATTCAATATATTCTTTTTCTGACCGTTTCCCATAAAACTGGATTTAGGGGCTGGGGCTGTGGTTCAATGGTAAAGCATTTATTTACCTAACATGTATAAAGCCCTGGGATCAACTCTAAACACTGATAAATATTTTACAAATAAAAATAAGGCTGGGAATGGAGCTTAGAGGTAGAGTGCTTGCTTAGCATGTATGGAGCCCTCACTTTGATTCCTCAGTATCACATAAACAGAAAAAGCAAGAAGTGATGCTGTGATTCAAGTGGTAGAGTGCTAGCCTTGAACAAAAAAAAGCTCAGGGAGGGCTGGGGAGGTGGCTCAGTGGTAGAGCACTTGCCTTGCATGCCTGAGGCCCTGGGTTCGATTCCTCAGCACCACATAAGGAAAAAAGCCGGAGTGCTAACCTTGAGCTGAAGGACAGCGCCCAGGCCCGGAATTCAGGCCCCACGACCGGACCCAAAAAAAAAAAAAAAAAGAGTATGAAGCACTTTCTCCTGCCAGGCTGGCTTCAAACAGTGATCCTCAGCCATCAACTTCCTGAGTAGCTAGGATTACAGGCATGAGCCACCAGCACCTAGCTTCAAGTGAGAGAGTGATTTGAACCCAAAGCACATGTATTCATTCATACATGAAAATGCACAGTTAATGCTATTTGAACTATCAATTCTTAGAGGGTAAAGACCTGAATGTGTTTCAATCTTTACTTTGAAAAAAATCTGACAACAGTGCCATAAACCCTATATTTTATTCAAATACAAGGTGATAAGAAAAGCATTGTTACGGGCTGGGAAGGTGGCTCAGTGGTAGAGCACTTGCCTTGCATGCCTGAGGCCCTGGGTTCGATTCCTCAGCACCACATAAGCAAAAACAAAAAAGCCAGAAGTGGCGCTGCGGCTCAAGTGGTAGAGCGCTAGCCTTGAGCTGAAGAGCTGAGGGACAGCGCCCAGGCCCAGAGTTCAGGTCCACGACCAGACTCAAAAAAATAAAAAAATAAGCCGGGCGCTCGCCTTGAGCTGAAGAGCTGAGGGACAGCGCCCAGGCCCAGAGTTCAAGCCCCACGACTGACAATAAAAATAAAAATAAATAAAAAAAAAAGAAAAGCATTGTTACACTTATTAACCAAGGATTTGGAAATAAACAGTATGGGGGGAAAAAAGGCCTGAATATGCGGGGGTGGAGGGGGGAGTACTAAAACACAAGAGGATAGCTGCTACTTGGAACTGAAATGACAAAGGGAAAAATAAAGGTACAGAGAACAGGAACAACGGCACAAAGCAGACACTAAAATGGAGTACAACCCAGAGTTTATAGCAAGAAAATGGGTCAAATGTTTGACCTATAATATCAAAGAATCACCTGTGTGGCAAAGAGGCTTCAAGCTTCCCATTGTCTGCTGGTATCTTCGGCTTTCATCTTCTGCTACCTCATTGATATCTGAATAGTCCACAGCATCTTCTGTACTCCTAATCCAGCCTGTAAGTAACAAGAAGAGATCCCAAGAAAGAGAAAACAATGTAGTCTTGCAGATAATTCACATTTAAAAGTACATGTACAGCTGGACACGCCTGTAACTCCAGCACTAAAGAGGCTGAAATAGAAGGATCATATCCTAGAGGCCAGTGTGGGCTATTTACCAAGCCATTTTAAATAGTACATGTATAGCCAGGAACTGGTGGTTCAGGTCTCTAATGCTAGCTACTCAGGAGCCTGAGACCTGAGAATCACAGTTTGAAACTATCCCCTGCAGTGCCGTGAGACTCTTAACTCCAATTAACCAGAAAAAAGCCAGTCACATTTGCCCTCAGCAAAAATGTTAAGAGCCAGTGTCCAGGTCCTGAGTTCAAGCCCCAAAGCCGGCACAAACAAAAAAAGGTTCATGTACAGAAAGTGGGTGGCCTTCTCCCACAACTTACTGCCCATGACCCAGACTTTACCTTCATCATTTACCAAGGCACCATCCGTTCCAGTCAATTCTTCATTGGCAGTGAGTTCAGTGATCAGGCTGCCCAGACCCAAAGCACCCAGGCCTGCTAGGTGCTTCTTACACTCCTGAAAAACCAATGCTAGAGTCAAAAGCAACAACTAGGACAGGGAGCTAGAGTGAAAAACAATAAAATGTGAGCACCAAAGTAAAAAAAGTAAACTATGATCCAAGTGACAATTTCAAAAGTAACAATTAAATCTTAATGCCAGAGCCGGAGCTGGTGGCTGTTGCCTGTAATTCTAGCTACTCAGGAGGCTGAGATCTAAGGACAGCGGTCTGAAGCCTGCCTGGGCAGAAAAGTCCATGAGACTACTCTCCAATTAATCACCAAAAAATCCGAAAGTGAAGTCATGACTCAAGTGGTAGAGTGCCAGACTTGAGCAAAAACTCTGGGACAGCGCCCAGACTCTTAAGTTCAAGTCCCAGGACCGGTGTGTGTGTGTGTCACGCGTACACACACACACACACCGAAATAAAGAAGTTTCCAAAAGGGATTTCACAGTAATAGCACGAATGCAACTTCAATAGGCTCAACCATTTTTTTCGCTATGATATGGGGCGGAACAAAGTTTCTCTCAAAAGCCACCCATCTCCGTGTCCCTAATCTTCGACATTTCACGAATTTTGTCTTTTCTCCCCATCCTTGCCGATCCGAGCTCTACTGACTTTACTCCCCAAGAGTATGAGGATGGGATCCTCGACTCCCTCCTAGCAAGGGGACGTATGTTCTCTAACCATCCTTTCTCCGTCTACTCGCCTCAGGCACACACACCCTCTCCCCCGCCCGAGCCCCACGCCCATCCCCTTACATCATCCAAGACGCTTTCCCCTTCCAGCTGCCCAGCTCCATTGATGTTGCCGAAAAGAAAACCGGTTAAAGAAAATGGGCCATCAAGTGCAGAATCTTCGTCGCTCTCCGTGTCGGACATGATGGCGGTAGCTCTATTTGTGGTCGCCGCAGGCCTTGTCGGATCTCCTGGGCCGGAAATAAAAACTCTCGTCGCACAAATATGACTACAAGATTCCCCGCCCTAAACGTCCATACCGGAAGTTAAATGAAAGGGGAAAAAATAACCGGAAGAACCGTCTTACGAAAAAAAAATGGAATAGGTAGTAAACTTTACTAACCGTTTTTGATTCGCCCAACGGATATCACGAGACCAAACAGTTGGCAAGTAATTGGCCAAAGAACATTCCGTTTAGTTCCGCCCCTTTAACTACGAACAAAGGTTCTGATTGCATGGCATAAGAGCGACAGATTTTTAATCCAATCGGAAAGAAGTTCCAGGGTCACGGGCCTAAACCCTGGAAACTGAGGGTTGGGACACTTCAGCTTAAGGAATTATTAGGTAGAGCCAGTCTGTTTGGTCCGTATTTACTGCGGTTTCTCTGCTTTCTTCCCCAAAGCAGACTTAAATGGTCCCCTAACTATGTCGAAGGTACCATTGCAAGTTACTTGTTTGGAATTGGCAAGTTCCCCGTTTCGAATTCACAAGTTCCCGGTAACAGTTGATTAACCTTCCAACGTTTACTTTAGGAAATAAGAAAGATTTATAAAATGAACAATCTGCCATTCACCTAGGTTCAGTTCATGTTTTGCTAGTTTGTTTGGTCCCAGTCCACTTTCTAGAGTGCTTACGTAGTCCTGCGGTTTTTTAAAGGTCTTTTTATGTTCGTTTGAATTATTTTTTTGGAGGTACTGGGGTTTCATTTAGAGCCTCTCGCAAGGCAGGGGCTCTAACGCTGAGCCCTACCTCCAACCATTGTTTTGATTTTTGAGGAGCTTTGCAGCCCAAGCTGGTTTACAATTCTTAAGAATTCCAGACTGAAGACTCTGAGTTTAGGGCTGGGAAGGTGGCTCAGTGGTAGAGCGCTTGCCTTGAGCTGAAGAGCTGGGCCCCAGGCCCAGAGTTCAGGCCCCACGACCCGACCCCCCCCCAAAAAAGACAGTTTAATCCCCAGCACCTAAACAAAGTATAAGATACACATTTTTTTTATAGCTCGGCATTGTGTCACAGTGCCTGTAATATCAACATTTGGAAGGATGCATTGAATGCGAGGCCAACCTGAGTAACATAGGGAGACCGATCTCAAAAAATAATCACATCTTTCCTGTTGAGGAACTGTCTTAAATACAGACAGTTCCAAGACTGTGGGATAAGAGAAGTAAATGCTAAGACTAAAAAAAAAAAATCACATCTTGAAAGAGTAAATCAATATTGTTTTAGAGCACCTTAAGTTTCCCTAATTGTCGTGATTGGAGTGTTTTACATTTTTTTCCTACAATTTATTCAAGGTTCATACATTAATTTGACCAAGCACAGTTTAGTCCAAAATGTACCTGCCTTTTTTTCCATTAGTAAATTTTTTTCAAAGGACTTGTCTTTATTTCATTAGCTTTTGTTTTCAGTTTGGAAAAGGTAGAGTAAAACACTGGGATTTGTTTAATAGTTATTATAAAAGTGATGTACAGATAGGGTACAGTGACCTAAGTCAGGTAAAGAAGTGGAGCTGTAGTGCTAGACTTGAGCACAAAAGCTTAGGGAAATCACTCAGACCCAGAGTTCAAGTGACAGGACCAACACACACACACATACACACTCCACTCTTTTTGTTTATGGTCAGTCATGGGGCTTGAATTTTGGGCCTGGGCGCTGTCCCTGAACTCTTCAGAACAAGGCCAGTGCTCTACCACTTGAGCCACAGTGGCATTTCCGGGTTTTCTGGTGGTTTATTCAAGATAAAAGTTGCATGGACTTTCCTGCCTGTGCTGGCTTTGAACCCCAATCCTCAGACCTCAGCCTCTTGAGTAGCTAGGATTACAGGTGTGAACCACTGGTGCCCAGCTTCCACTCCTTTTTTTATTACCAGCCCTGGGGCTTGAACTCAGGGCCTGGGCACAGTCCCCGAGCTTCTTTTACTCAAGGCTAGCACTCTACCACTTGAGCCACAGCACCACTTCCAGCTTTTTTCTGTTTATGTGGTACTAAGGAATTGAACCCAGGGGTTTATGCTTGCTAGGCTCTACAACTAAGCCATATTCTCAGCCCCACACTTCTTGAGATTGAGTTCAAGCCCACGACAAAAAAAAAAAAAGCTTTTTTTTTTTCCTTTGGTCATGGGGCTTGAACTGTGGGCCTGGATGCTGTTCCTCAGCTCTTCAGCTCAAGGCAAACGCTCTACCTCTTGAGCTACAGCGCCACTTCCAGTTTTCTGGTGGTTTATTGGAGATAGGAGTCTCACGGTCTTGTCCAGGCTGGCTTTGAATCGTGATCCTCAGATCTCAGCCTCCTGAGTCATGAGCCACTGGCGCCTGGCCAAAAAAGCTATTCTTAGAGTAGTCTGGTTTTCATGCTTCTTACCTCCATTCTCTCACTATAAATAGTGATTTCCTCCCTAGACTCTGTGCAGGAAAGTATGTGAGACTCTTATCTCCAAAAAAAAAAAAAACACCAGAAAACCAGAAGTGGTGCTGTAGCTCAAGTGGTAGAGATCTAGAGTGCTAGCCTTGAGCTGAAGAGGTGAGGGACAGCACCCAGACCCAGAGTTCAAGCCTCACAACCACCAACAACAAAAAATTGTAAAGGTGATATACAGAGGGGTTACAGTTACGTGGGTGAGGTCATGAGTACATTTCTTTTGGAACAGTGTTATCCCCTCCCTCATTTATCCTAGGATCATCATCAAAAAAAAAAAAGCTTAAAGTTATATTGTAACATAGTCACAGCAGGGCTGGTAATGTGGCTTAGTGGTAGATTGCTTGCCTTGCATGCATGAGGCCTTGAGTTCAATTCCTCAGCACCACATAAGCAGAAAACCCCGGAAGTGGCGCTGTGGCTCAAGTGGTAGAGCACTAGCCTTAATGTGGAAAGCTGAGGGACAGCGCCCAGGCCCTGAGTTCAAGCCTTAGGACAGGCAAAATAAATAAAATAAAAATAAATTGAAAAAGGCAGAAATGGAGTATGGCTCAAGAATGCCAGCCTTAGCCGGGCGCTGGTGGCTCACGCCTGTAATCCTAGCTACTCAGGAGGCTGAGATCTGAGGATCGCGGTTCAAAGCCAGCCCGGGCAGGAAAGACCGTGAGACTCCTATCTCCAATAAACCACCAGAAAACCGGAAGTGGCGCTGTAGCTCAAGTGGTAGAGTGCTCGCCTTGAGCTGA